AAGACCCTGCTGAGCAGCCCCGTGCCCATGGAGGGCAACGCTGTCATGCAGGTACACACACACACACACACACACACACACACACACACACACACACACACACATCCACATACACACACACTACACCCTCATGCAGGTACACACACATCCCATAAAACAGTTCCTCTGACACGACAGGAAGCAGAAAATCATGCACTGTTCAAAGTGTGTCACATTATTGGAAAGGAAACATGCAGGAGTTGACTGAACTAACTCTGTTATCCTAAACTCACCAACAGCTAGCCTAGCTAGCTTAGCGCCTCACTTGCATATTAAAACCACGTCAGAACTCGAGCAACACAAACTTCTCCTCTGCAGATCCTGGCTGCTCGCCCTGAGGACAGCGGGACGTACGTGTGCTCGGCTCGTAGCAACGAGGGAAGCTCGGAGACCCGGGTGGAGGTCCTGGTGGAGGGGGGTCTGGTGGAGGGGGGGGGTCTTCAGGAGCCCTCGGCCCCCCGAGCCTCCGTCCCTGAGCCCCTGCTGGTGGTGGTGGAGGGCCGGACCGCCACGCTGCGCTGCGAGGCCCACGGTGAGGAGACATTATGGAGGGTTGGGGAAAATAGCTGATAATAAACAAAGAGAGACTAACCGGGTGAAACATGGAACCAGACCCAACTCACGGACAGGGACATGCAGGTTACTGACGACGACCAGACAAGGAACACAAGGGAAAGCAAGACTAAACACACACGATAATCACAAGACACAGCTGGAGCAACACAGACCTGGATCTGGATCCCGCTGCTCGTATAGTGAAGACGTTCGATCTACTGACAGCTGGAGTTTCACTAAAATCATGGTTTCCAAAATAAATGGAGCTTATAATGAATATATTTCTGCTCTTTCTCTCTCCCCCCAGGTGTCCCGCCCCCCATCATCAGCTGGTCCAAGCTGCGCTCCCCCCTCCCCTGGAGACACTCTGTGACGGGGGGCAGTCTGGTTCTGCCCTCTGTCGGACGCCAGGACTCTGGGGAGTATATCTGCAGCGCCACCAACAGCCTGGGGGCGAGCGAGGTCACCGTCACTCTGGACGTAGAGAGTGAGTCTCATTGGGTTTCACTCCGGGTTTGAACTGACCGTAGTCCCAGATAGCAGAGATCTGTCTCTACCCGAGCCTCTCCCAGTGTCACATCCTGTCTTTACATATCCTCATACGAGCTGTTTAAAGTAGTCTCTATGTCTGAGTCCTGAGTACTTTTTACTGAAGTACATTTCAAAGCCTCTTTACTTTGACTCGAGTAAAGAAGTTTAGTCAGTACTTCTACTTTTACTATTTTTAAACACGAGTATCTGTACTTCTACTTGAGTAAAGGATGTGTGTACTTTTGCCCTCTCTGGAAAGGTGTTTTTAATTCCCATATATTATTATTTCACATTAACCCCTTCCTCTCTCCCTGCAGCCCCCCCTTACGCCACCTCCATGCCCGATGATGTTGCAGTGCGGGTGGGGGAGGTGATCCGGCTGCAGTGCCTTGCTCATGGGACCCCCCCCCTCACCTACACCTGGAGCAAGCTGGACGGAGAGCTGCCCCCCCGAGCGCAGCTCAGCGGAGGGGACCTGCAGATCAACCTGGCCACCGCCGAGGATGCTGGGAGTTATAAGTGCATCGCCAGCAACAAGGTGGCCGACAGCGAGGTGATCGCTAGAGTCACCGTCAGATGTGAGTCCGCTGGGAAACTTAAATATACTTCTTCTCTGCTTTAAAGGATCAATGAGGTGGTTGTTATTTAAACTTCAGAACTAATGGAATATATAAGTTATAAAGGTGTGGCGGGGTTCCCTTTGTCCGTCCGTAAACATAGGCTTAGTCGGTTCATTAGAGCTCAAAGACAAACAAATAGATATACTGTTTGAACAGAACATTGAAATAGAATAAGTTAAATAAACAAAATCTAGTTTTTCTTTCAATTAAATATTCGGTACCCAAAATCCAAGAGCTGTTGCCTTCGCTGCAACAATACCAGAAAACACAGTCCCTAATAAACACATAGCCCCTCCCCATAGGCTTACCGTCAATCAGTCACAACAATGAATTAAGCAAGGAGCTTGTTTACATTATTTGAATACCGCAAATATGAGCAAAATGTTACTACCCAAACATGAACAGGTTAATCATCTTATAACATAACCATCATTAAGAAACGCAAAAGAAAGAATAATTGCAGGCTTCATTAAATGATATTCAAACAACGGAAGTGATGCGCCTCCGTGTTTTCCACACACCCCCTCGCTGGGGAGACGGCAGCCAAACTGCCGTTCGTTGCCCGTCATGCAAGTATCGCGTTAAGTCAAGCAATGAAAAGAAACTAAAGTGATAATAGTCTTTAATAATGTACTCTTGCATTTTTTTGTGAAAATCTGCATCATCTATTATTTATGAAGGAATTTATAGAATACAAAA